CGATGGAGGAAGAGGACGGACATGACAGGGGGTTACTGGGTGTAAATTGAAAATAAGATCTTATTACCTCCTCTGCTGCCACTTCCACCAATGTCTCCTCTCTACTTCCTCCCAACTCACCCGGAACTTCCTTCTTATACCTGACATCACTTCCTGTCTATCCCTGAATCACTTCCTGTCTGGGTAGAAGTGAGATCCCCACTATATGGAGGTCAGAGGAACTTCAGCCCCGAGAACCGTCTGGTAGTGTGATCCCGGCCTTGTGCTGGGTGTGTATGGACTGTATGTCCTCATAGAGGGGTCACCTCCACTCCCACCAAGGGGGAGATAGAATAGAAATATATTGGCTCAACGCTTTGTTGTAACTAGATTCCTTTTTCTCAGTTTTTTTGTCTTTTAGATATACAGAAAAATAAGATTGCACTTTATGTCTTTGACTTTTACGTCTGTACAGTAAACCATTTGTTGAGAAAGTACTCAGATGCAGATGTTCCGATTGTTTAGAGCAAAAGGTCTCCAAGCTACGACTCTCAGGCTACATCCGGCTGGCTGGACATGCGTGTGCCGGTCCATGCATTATAATACAGAGACCTATGCATTCACTGACAGATTCCTTATGTTGTGGTTTGTTTCTAGGACTGCCAGTGTCCTATCAACCATTGAGGTGGCCCCAGCATATACAGGAAGACTGGGTGTCCTCCATCCAGGTCAGCTTCCCTTATGGGCTTTGGCTCTGCTTCTCTGACATTTGAAAGATAAGAATGGTCTCTGATGAGCACACACAAATGTAAAGGGGGACACTGCTGGGCACACAGGGATGTAGAGGGGTCTCTGCTTGGAATAAGTGGATGTAAGGGGGGACTCTGCTGGACAAATATGGAAGGAAGAACTCTACTGAGTACACCTGTATGTAAGTGGGAATTCTGTTGGGCATGCTTAGACATAAGGTTGGCTGTGTCTGGTATTCATAGATGTAAGAGGGCACCCTTTTGGACACCCCATGATGGATGGGGGGATCCTGCTGGGCACACGTGGATGTATAGATGGACTCTCCTGGGCACACATGAATGTAAGGGCGGACTCTCCTGGGCAAACATGGATGTAAGGATGGACTTTCCTGGGCACACATGGATGTAAGGGTGGACTCTCCTGGGCACACATGGATGTAAGGGTGGACTCTCCTGGGCACACAGGGATGTAGAGGGGTCTCTGCTTGGAATAAGTGGATGTAAGGGGGGACTCTCCTGAGCACACATGGATGTAAGGGTGAACTCTCCTGGGCACACATGGATGTAAGGGTGGACTCTGCTGGGCACACATGGATGTAAGGGTGGACTCTCCTGGTCACACATGGATGTAAGGGGTGGACTCTCCTGGACACACATGGATGTAAGGGTGGACTCTCCTGGACACACATGGATGAAAGGGTGGACTCTCCTGGACACACATGGATGAAAGGGTGGACTCTCCTGGACACACATGGATGAAAGGGTGGACTCTCCTGAGCACACATGGATGTAAGGGTGGACTCTCCTGGGCACTCATGGATGTAAGGGTATACTCTCCTAGGCACACATGGATGTAAGGGTGGACTCTCCTGGGGACACATGGATATAAGGAAGGACTGTCCGGGGGCACACATGGATGTAAGGGTGAACTCTCCTGGGCACACATGGATGTAAGGGTAGACTCTCCTGGGCACACATGGATGTAAGAGGTGGCTGTGTCTGGTATTCATAGATGTAAGAGGGCACCCTTTTGGACACCCCATGATAATGGGGGGAATCCTGCTGGGCACACATGGATGTAAGGGCGGACTCTCCTGGGCACACATGGATGTAAGGGTGGACTCTCCTGGGCACTCATGGATGTAAGGGTGGACTCTCCTGGACACACATGGATGAAAGGGTGGACTCTCCTGAGCACACATGGATGTAAGGGTGGGCTCTCCTGGGCACTCATGGATGTAAGGGTATACTCTCCTGGGCACACATGGATGTAAGGGTGGACTCTCCTGGGGGACACATGGATATAAGGATGGACTGTCCTGGGCACACATGGATGTAAGGGTGAACTCCTGGGCACACATGGATGTAAGGGTAGACTCTCCTGGGCACACATGGATGTAAGAGGGACTCTGGTATTCATAGATGTAAGAGGGCACCCTTTTTTGGAACCCCCATGATAAATGGGGGGAATCCGCTGGGCACACATGGATGTAAGGGCGGACTCTCCTGTGCACACATGGATGTAAGGGTGGACTCTTTATAAACCTGACTTTTTTCCTAGAGACAGAACAGCTTTTCTCATATAAACTGACATAGGAAGGAAGTAGGAAGGGATCAAACCCAGTGGGAGGAGCTACAAATGTTTTAGTTAAAAGGTCTGAGGAAATAGCTGAAAGGGGGACTCTACCTTGGGACAAAGTCACATGATAGAAAACAGAGGGAGCCTGCCAAGATCAAGAACCCATTTTCTTGAAATCACTTAATGCTGAGAGTCCTGTTCATTAAGGAAATGGTGAACCAGCTATAGCAGACGCCACATGACTTTAGTGTATCCCTGTTGCATACAGACTATTCTCAATATTCATTGGCTAGGACAAGATAGTATGTGAAGCTCTGTATGTATGCATATTTGTAGCACTCTACAGGTCTTGTATTATTTTTCCCATAATACACACAGCAATTTTGTTCAGTGAAAGCATATTAATATACTACTGGGTTTGTTTCCCTGAATTTACTACAAGAATCAGAAAACTGAAAAAGCAAAATGTGTGACATGATTTATGAGTCTATGAACTGATTAACTGTAGTTAAAAAAAAAAATCAGCGCAAGGGACCTTACTCCCTATTAGTTTGATATGTCCCTTGTTCTGCTGGCTCTTGTATTCCTTGAAATCTTTATCCTGTTCTGACTCAACTACCAGGCCATAAACTTTATCTCCAGCGATGTATACAGCTATACCACGTGGTGTTGAATTTATCCTTTGCATCGGGTCAGACAGTTTAACTCACATGTAGAGGAAGTCAGATGAGGAAATCCATTTGAATGTTCCGTTTAATGGAGAATAATCATAGGTAGAAAACCATTAATGTTGTAAGCCTCATGGAAAGATGCATTCGGAAAACAGGATACAGTGGAATGACTACCAGAGAGAGGCAGGGGGGAGGGATATACACAAGTACGGTAAGAGAAAGAGCTCAGCTTAGACAGAAGGAGACAGCTTAAAGACACAGAGCAATAATAAACAAGTGATGGCCACAGAGAAATAATAAATCAAATAGTGTAACACAACACATCCTCTGATCCCTCCCCCTGACTCCTGCCACCATGATCTTTACTAAAAGGTTGGTGACTAATAACCTGACTGATCTCACTCAGCACCTGCACTACTCTGGATAGGCACTCATCAACAGTGCCCAACTAAATCGGCACTTTTTGCCGAGCTTCTCCATTCATAATAGCTGTATTATGGGTGAGACAGGATCTATGAATGCAGGAGGTGGACCCATCCCCCACACCAATAAAATTCATATAATCCATTAGAATAGGGCAGGGGTCTCTAAACTTTCTAACCAAAGGGCCAGTTTGCTGACCTTCAGACTTTTGGGGGGGCCGGACTGTAGCCAGTGGGAGAAAAAATAACAAAGAATCAGTGCCCCATTGTTGCTTTTAAATGGGAGGAATAGTGCCTCGTTGTTGATATCAGTGAGAAGAGTGTCCCATTGATGGTGTCAGTAAGGGGAGTGGTGGCCCAACCATGGTGACAGTTGGTGGAATAGTGCTCCAAGGGCCAGATAAAAGCAAGCAAAGGGTCACATCCAGCCCCAGGGCAGCAGTTTTGGACACCACTGGTCTAGACTGATGAGGTGAGAAGGTCATTCGTGGAAAAGGTGACATCTCCAAAATGAAGGAAATGTTCGAGCCCCACAATGTGCACAAGTCACAAATCAACCATTATACGAAACATTCATTTTTGTTATTTAGGAACACCTTATCGGCTGGACGGTGACCTTCTTATTGGACGATATTAGGAGGCGGTCTTATAGAAACACAACACAACATTCCAGGGAGGGAACGACTGCTTCTAATACCATGTCTGGCATTATCTGCTAAGTCCTTCCAGTACCTGAACCTGGTATCATATAGAGAGCCTAGCATTAGCATATAAGCACTTAATATCGTCCATTAGTTAACGTTTTATTTTTTTTCCCCAAAATATTTGCATTTTTATCATAGAAATTATTAAAATGTCACTTCAGAAAATTTCATATTTCACACGTTCATCTGGCAGGTGGTACTCTTCAAGCAAATGAAGCTCTGTGTGAAGGGTGAGGGCTACTGCAATGTCATAGGGCCTGATCTCCCTTTCTCTTCATCCACGACCAATATTTAGCTCCTCTCTCTCCATGATGTCCTCCATGGAAGGTTCTGCTGAAGGTCAGGGAAGATCAGACTACACTGCTAGGAGGGACCCAACCAGCAGTGACCCCCCCCTCCTTCTCTCTCTCACCATGATGTCCTCCATGGAAACCTCTGCTGAAGGTCAGGGGAGATCAGACTACACTGCTAGAGGGTCCCAACCAGCAGTGACCCCCCCCCCCTTCTCTCTCCTAGCAGAGGAAGCCAGACACAACTTTGAAGTCTTTAGTGATCTCTGATCTCCTTATAAAAAGTGTTTCTTCCATGATAAAAATCAGAGGAGCGCTCAGCTTCTGGAGGTGTATATCAAGGTGTGCTTCTTCCCAATGTGAGATGTCTGATGTACGGCAACATATCCATAGAGAAGACATTTCCCGCACTCAGGACACCTCAAGGGTTGTGTGCGTTTTCTGATGTTTGGTAAGAACAGACTTCCATGAAAAACTTTTCCCACACTCAGAGCAGGAATACGGCCTCTCCATGTGAGAAATTTGGTGTTTGACAAGATCTGATTTCCGTGAATAACATTTCCCACACTCAGGACAAGAAAACAGCGTTTCACGAGTATGGCATATCTGATGTTTCGCAAGACTGGTATCCCATGAAAAACATTTCCCGCAGACAGGACAAGAATAGGGCTTCTCCCCCGTGTGAGTTCTCTGATGTGTGATAAGATTGCCCTTCCTTGAAAAACATTTCCCGCATTCAGAGCAGGAAAATGGCTTCTCCCCAGTGTGAGTTCTTTGATGCTTCACAAGGGCTGAATTCTGTGGAAAACATTTCCCGCACTCGGGGCAGACATAAGGTTTCTCACCCGTGTGCATTCTCTGATGTATGGAAAGATGGGACCTCTGTGAAAAATATTTTCCACACTCGGTGCAGGAATACAACTTCTCGCCCGTGTGCAATCTCTGGTGTTGGGCAAGATTGGACTTTAATGAAAAAACATTTTCCACACTCGGTGCAGGAATGCGGCTTCTCACCCGTGTGCAGTCTCTGATGTAAAGAAACATGGGACTTCCGTGAAAAACATTTGCCGCAGTCAGGGCAGGAATACAATTTCTCCTCTGTGTGAGATCTATCATGTATTAGAAGTACTGATTTAGGAGAAACGTCATCACCATCCCCCACAGTACGAGGTTGCTCAGAGTCAGAGGGACTCCATGGTCTGTCCACACTGGGAAGTCCACCATCCATAGGGAAGCTCATTGTCTTTTTCTCCGGCACATGGAATCCCGGCCCCTTTCCCCACAGCACGAGGTTGCTCAGCGGCCAAGGAATTCCATGGTCTCTCCACACTGGAAGGTTCACCATCCACAGTGGAGATCATTATCTTCTCTCCGGCACAATCTCCTGGGATATCCTCATCTTCCATTTTACAACCTGGAGATAAAGTGAGACGATCCTTTGAGGGTTTCTCCATGGCGGGTCCTGGAAAAATAGAAAAACATCATCAATAGATAGGAGAGAGTTAGTTCACTTCCATCAAGATTCCATCTGGATCAGGGAGATAGGAGGAAGCAGATGTTCTCTGTGGATGTCCCAACCAGCTGGGACTCATCCCCTCTTCAAAGAGCCTTTGGTCCTCGCAGATCACTTCTACATTTACACCGCCTTGTCAGAGGAGCAGGAACCAATGGGGGCTGGGGGGGGGCGGTAACAGAGCAGAGATAAGAGAAGAATATATTCTGGTCACCTGTGCTGATCTCTGTAGGAGTGTCCTTCTCTAGGAATGTCCTCCTCATTCCAGCCTCCTCCGTATATTGCTGATCATCCCTCACATATGTCTCTTCTATTTCACCCTCAACTTTCATGTTCATCAGATCTTCACCCTAAACCAAAAGAAGGGCAGAAAATAACATCTGTAACATAGAAGGATTTATGATGTGAGATCACATAGAACATCTCATCTTGTAGAGTCCACACATCGTCTCCACATATCAGAGTGTTCCATCACTTTATGTTCCCGACCCTCAACTACACCTACCTGATGATGGTGAGGGATGGTGTGACCTTCCTGTGTGGAAACCTGGGAATACAGAGGACGGGGACATCTCTCTGGTGGATTTCTGGTATTAGGTGGCTCCATCATGACTTCCTTGTAGAGATCCTTGTGTTCCTCTGAAAGCTCCTCTATCACACCATCCTCATCATTCTCCTCTTTAACAACAATATTATAACCCCCGAGGATTCCACTCTGAATACATAATAAAGCATTCATTATAACATGCTTGCATATAAAATATAACTACCAGTGATTGCTCACCTACCTGATGATGTGGAGGGATGGTGTGACCTTTCTGTGTGGAAACCCGGGAACACAGAGGACAGGGACATCTCTCTGGTGGGTTCCTGGAATTAGGTGGCTCCATCATATCCTTGTGTCCTTCTGAAGACTCCTCCATCACTCCATACTTCTCATCTTTATACTCTTCTTTTATGACAATATTATCATCCCCAAGGATTCCACTCTAAACATTCAAAAAGACATTCAATGTAACAAACATGCTTGTCTATACATTTTAGCTATCAGTGATTGTTCCTCATCTACCTGATGATGGTGAGGGATGGTGTGGCCTTCCTGTGTGGAATCCCGGAAATACAGAGGACGGGGACATCTCTCTGGTGGGTTCCTGTAGCTGGACGACTCGACCATGGTGTCCTGGTACAGATATTTGTGTCCTCTGGGAAACTCTGACTCCTCCATCATCCCATCCTCATCCTTCTCCTCTTTTATCTCTTCTTTAATATCGACCTGTGTGGAATCCCGGGAATACAGAGGAAGGGGACATCTCTCTGGTGGGTTCCCATGACTGGATCCATCTACCTGATGGTGAGGGATGGTGTGACCTTCCTGTGTGGAATCCCAGGAATACAGAGGATGGTGACATCTCCCTGGTGGATTCCCATGACTGGATCCATCTGTAGGAAACACACACACTGACTGAATCCATTGTTTCTATGTGTTTATCAGATGATGGGGGATCTAGGTGGAGCCTCCGTACTGCTCTCTCCTTAAAGTCTCCTCTTACCTGGTGATGTGAGGGGCGGCTGATTGTCCATCATGACGTCCTTGTAGAAATCCTGGTGTCCTTCACAAAGCTCCTTCATCTCTCCATACTCCTCATCCTCCTCTTTATACTCCTCTTTAATACCAATATTATCATCCCCGAGGATTCCACTCTAAAAATATAAGCAATTAGTTGTACTAAACGTGCATATAAAATATATATACACATATACTATATTGCCCCAAGTATTGGGCCGCCGACCCTTTCCATGCACATGACCTTTAATGGCCTCCCAGTCTTAGTCTGTAGGGATCAATATTGAGTTGGCCCCGCCCTTTACAGCTATAACAGCTTCAACTCTTCTGGGAAGGACGTCCACAAGGTTTAGGAGGGTGTCTGTGGGAAGGTTGGACCATTCTTCCAGAAGCACATTTGTCAGGTCAGGCACTGATGTTGGGGGAGGAGGCCTGGCTCGCAATCTCCACTCTAATTCATCCCAAAGGTGTTCTGTGGGGTTGAGGTCAGGACTGTGTGCAGGCCAGTCAAGTTCCTCCACCCCAAACTGGCTCCTCCATGTCTCCATGTCCACCATAATCCCCCCTCCACCAAACTTTACACTTGGCACAATGCAGTCAGGCAAGTACCATTCTCCTGGCAACTGCCAAACCCATACACATCCATCGGATTGCCAGACAGAGAAGCGTGATTGGTCCCTTCAGAGAACACACCTCCTCTGCTCTAGAGTCCAGTGGTGGCGTGCTTTACACCACGGCATCCGACGCATTGCACTTGGTGATGGAAGGTTTGGAAGCAGCTGCTCTGCCATGGAAACCCATTCCATGAAGCTCTCTACGCACTGTTGTTCGGCTCATCTGAAGGCCACACCAAGTTTGGAGGTCTTTAGCTATTGACTCTGGAGACAGTTGGCGACTTCTGCGCACTGTGCGCTTCAGCATGCGCTGACCCCGCTCTGTCATGTGACGTGGCCTACCACTTGGTGGCTGAGTTGCTGTTGTTCCCAGTTGCTTCCACTTTGTTATAATCCCACTAACAGTTGAGCGTGGAATATTTAGTAGCCAGGAAATGTCACAGATGGACTTATTGCACAGGTGGCCACCTATCACGGGACCACGCTTGGAGTCACTGAGCTCCTGAGAGCGACCCATTCTTTCACCAATGTTTGTAGAAGCAGTCTGCATTTCTGGGGGCGTGATTTTATACACCTGTGGCCAGTGAATATGAAATATATTTGAAACATATTTCTAAAATATTCTTCCCAAATATATTGCCATATATTTGAAATGCTACAATTTTGGCCATATTCAATAGATTTTAAAATATCAAAATATATGTCAATATACACACACACACAGTTGAAATGTGTTATTATTACAAAATATATGAAAAATATTTTTAAAAAAACACATTTCAAATATACTGTATGTCTTTAAAAAATACAATTCTACATTTTTGGAATGCATTTACAAATATATGTAAAAATGATTTTTTTTTTTTTATATGTTAAAAAAAATCTGAAGAATATTTTTTTAAATATATTCTTCAGGTTTTTTTAACATATAAAAAAAGTAATTTTAACATTCTTTTTACATATATCTGTAAAGGCATTCCAAAAATGTAGATTTGTATTTTTAAAGACTTACAGTGTATTTGAAATGTATTTTTTAAAATATTTTCATATATTTTGTAATAAAAACGCATTTCAACATGCAGTATGTGTATATATATATATATATATATATATATATATATATATATATTTATTTATATTTTTTTTTTTTTTTTTTTTTTTATTAAAATATATTGAATATGGGCAAAAAATTGCAGCATTTCAAATATATTTTTCTTCCATGTGGGATGTGCGGTATAACAGTCTCCTTATGTATTTTTAAAAAGATTTTTCATATATTATGATATATATATATATATATATTTATTTTTTTTTAATATGGCCAAAACTGCATTTCAAATATATGTCAATATATTTGGGGAGAATATTTTTAAAATATATTTCAAATATATTTTTCTTCCATGTGGGTAGAAATGCTAGAGGTGTGTTTTTTAAAGTGGTTTCTCAGCAAAATAAAGCGTGGAGACATGGATTTGGAGGGGTTTGTTTTAAATGTTAAAAATAAATTAAATAGCGCTGTTGGTTCGCTCAGCTAAACAAACCCTCCTACATGCATGCCTGAGCCAAGGGCAGATGGATTCCAGGAAATAAATGCTACATAAATTGTCTGCCCTTACTCAAGATGGCCACGGATAAAAATGTTGGGGGGGGGGGGGTGTTCAAAGTGATTTTTCAAATATATTTTTCTTACACGTGGGTAGCCGCAGCCATCTTGAGTAAGGGCAGACGATTCCTGCAGCATTTACTTCCTGGAATTCATCTGCACCCTTAGCTTATGGACACAGGCATGTTTAGCTGAGAAAACCCCTCCTCCCCTCCCAAAGACTCCTGGGATGTATGACATCACCCTGGCCTAGGCCAGAAACTAGGAAGTAACAGAAAAGGATATTTAAAAAAAAGTATACAACAAGTAAATACGATATCCCTTCCTATCTATTCACCAATGCTAGCAGAGTAAGGATCATGAATAGTCCATGTTGGTTGAGAGTGAAGTTCCGCTTTAAGCCCCGACCCGTACAACCATGGCAAACAGGCGACACCAGAACACTATAAAACTATATCCAGGCAAAACGTAGGACTCTGCAGTCTTGAAATATAATTCCACCCTCCATGTTGCCAATGTGAGGGACAAGAGGAACTGGGCAAAGTGGCCACCAATAAGGGACAACAACAAAAGTCATGAAAAAATCAGATCTTCTCACCTCCTCTGGTGCCATTTCCAGCAATGTCTCCTCTCGAATCACCTCTCCCC